ACCACGTCGGCGCTTGCTGCTGTACCTTCTCCTCCGAAGGACTCTCGCTCGAGCTCCCGGCTCCAGCTCCTTTGGCTCGGGCTCTCGGCTCAGCGAGGGAGTCGGGGCTTCCCAGGGTCTCACGGATGTATCACGTCAAGGTCACCAGTTGTCGCTCACCAGCCTGGGCTGCAGCACCAAGGACACTGTTGCATCCTCCACAGCCAGGAGGAAATGGCCTGCCTCTTGTAGGCAGGATAGGTACCTTGAGTTGATTAGTAATTAGTTCATTATCTCAACCCAGTCCAGCTGGGTAAGAATGATTAGTGCCATACAATATATCCAAGCTTTTCCACTGCCTCCAGCTGTGCTCAGTTTCTGAGACCACTGTTTCTTGTTCAAGGGGGGGATGAAGTACTGACTGTCACATAGTGCCCACCAGAGAGCAGAGAAGCTGCAAACTTGCTGTCTTTGCTGCTGCGACCACTCCAAACCCCTTCTGTTCCCCTCTGCAGCCCAGTCCTTACGATGTTACACGTGCAAGGAACCGACAGATATCGCCAAGTGCAGAACAGCCACCCTGTGCCCCCCGAAAGCCACCGTGTGCACAACAACGCTGCACTCCGTAGACTCAGGTAAGTTTCATTGCTTGCTGTGAGTGCTTGAGAGGAGAGATGCGTCCTTCATGGGCCAAGTTATCTCATGAACTTCTGCTGATGCTTCCCTCTCCCTCCTCCCAGTTCCAGCTTGGATTATCCTTTAATTTCTCTGTAAGAATCCAAGTGGAATTACCCAACTTTAGAGCAGGAAGGAGATAAATCCATTAGATTCAAAGCCTCATTATAAAGTATACAAGACTCACTCTGCTTACTCAGTCTGTTTTGCCTTTCCTGAGCCTCATTATAAAGTATACAAGACTCTGCTTACTCAGTCTGTTTTGCCTTTCCTACTCCTAATTCCTAACAGACCCTGGACCTACAGATGTGTGCAAACACACTGCAGGAACCCAGGGGCTCTATCCTCATTTGTAGACACTTTCAACTTGCACCAACAGTCTCACTAGTGACCATGTCAGCGTTACACCAGTGTGTCTTGGCACTGCCACCTTCTATGCAGAGCCATTGCAGGAGCAACTCACACGAACAAAATACTTGTGCCCCTTGGCCATGCTAGAATAAATTTAGAAGGAGCAGGACAAAGAGCAGTCTGGATTACAGGCACCTGTGGATAAGATATCCTCAACACCTTATTTGCCTTTATTTACCTATAAACACTTTACTTTTAATTCCCCTCCATTGCACAACGTCGATGTTTCTCGATGCCAGCTATCTGCACCTTCTTTCACCATTTCTTTCTCTCTCTTCTCCTTCTCCCCTTCTCCAATCTGCCTGTTTCAGGTTATCCTTTTTTCGGCAACATCACCGTGACCAGAAGTTGTGAGGAGGAATGCATCTCCAGTGACGGGATAGGAGCATCCAAACCCAAGTCATGCTGCTACAGTGACCTCTGCACAGATGACACCAAGAGCAGCAATGGGGTGGGAAGCAGCTCTGCAACACTAGGTCTGATGACCGTGGTTGTTGGCACGCTCCTCCAGTACGTTCTGTAATGCTGCAAGTGCCCATGCTCCAGTCAAAACATCCTCATTCCTCTCTGCCAAGCTGCCTCGTGAACTCTAGATGCCTTGGGAACAACCTTCTTCGCTGATGTACGGCTTCAATCATCTCCAATGCTGTGATTTCAAGTGGATTCAAGACAAGAATTTGGGCACCTGGACCTAAACCCCTCAAATTTCCAGTTTCCAGCTACTAACCAGATGTTCCTCACCTTCAGCTGATTCTGTCCCCCAGGACCTACATCTGCCCCTACAGCTTTCTTCTGTGAAGAGCAGTAGCAGATGAAGCACTGTGGCTCTGCACAGCAGGAGGGCCTGGGCAATTCCACCAAGGCTGGTACTTTGGGGTCACCCTTAGCAAGAGCAGAGGTCATGTGCACACTGGATGTGGACAGTGCTTTTTTTCCAGGTCTCCTCAAGCTCTGACACATTATATTATATTCCTGTGCAGAATATAAAAAAATGCAAAAAAAAATCCTGCAACCCTCCGTCAGGAACTTGGTTTATTTTCTTTCCATTTTTGGTGTCATCTTCTGAGTCAGAGCAGCAGATGATGGGTGTTGTTCCCCTCTCACTATCTGCTCAGCAGAGTGTGGTTTGCAATCAGAGAGTTCGTGCTTAGCTGTGCCTAGAATAAGCTATGGGATGAGTTCAGAAGGACTCAGCCTTCATATGTGAGAGGGAATGTATTTCTGGAAAGCTCAAAACATGCCCTGCGCTCACAGACCAGGGCAGGTTAGACCTGCAAAAGTAAATTCAGGAGTTTGGCTAGCCAAAAACTTCATCAGCCCTTTGTCTGAGCTTGAGTTCCAATAAGAGCTCCTGGATTTGCCTTCCCAGATGTTTAGCAGACCGTTTCAAGCAACTTCTCTGTTACTCTGTCCTCCCCTATCCCTTCACAGCAGGGACTGCAGGAAAAGAAAAGTAATGTTTATCCCAGATCCTCAACTCTGGGAAAAGCCAACGGCTCCACTCACGCCGGCTAACAGCACTGACGGATCCCAGCTGGGGATTTGCTCCCTTCTCCCTTGGAGCAGCTGTAAGATTGATTTTGATGCTCCGTCTGCTGTAAAACCAGACAGAGTGGAAGTGGATACAAATGAGCCCAGTTCACAGTCCTCTCCAATAGGGGAGAGCCAGGGAACTTGCCATTTGTTCTGTTCCTATGGCCAGAGCCCATCCAGGGGACAACCTGCAAGATATGGGCAGAGTGGAAGCATGGGTACATCCCATGCACCTTCCTTGTGCGTTCATGTCACCCCTGCAGCCTCCTCTGTGGCAAAGTCCATTTTCACTCTGTTTCTGTAAAACACCAGCCAGAAACTAAAGGAATAAGCAGGGGGACTCTTTTTCTTCATTGCAAAGAGGTAATTGCTTCTCAAGGTCTGTCTCAGTACCATTTGCAAGAAAACTTTGGCAAGGCATTGCATTCCTTGGCAAAGGGCTCAGGAAGCTGATGAGCACCTTTTTTTCTGGAGGTGAAACGCTCTGTGCTTCACTAAAACAGTCACAGATTCCTTGAGACACCCTTTCAATGCTGAGGTCTACAGGGAGGAAAAATGCCATTGAGAGGATAACGATTGGGAGCTACTCAAATACTGATATTACACCTACCCTTGCAGACACAGAGCACCAGCTTCTGCGTCCTGCTCGTCTGTTCCCTGTTTCCCTGCTCCAAAAACAGTCTGAAGTGTCAGACCAGAAGCAAACTCACATCACTGCTATCCTTAGGTCTAATCACCTTTTCCATCCTGGATTCAAGCTCTGAAGTAAGTCACTGTTCCCAGTGGCCTTTCCACACTGGCTGCAGGGTCCTGTGCTCTGCTAACGTGGGCTGAACTTTCCTCCATCTATTGCACACACAGACGGGGCAGGGTTAGGATACAGAGGGACTGGGAGGGTGAGCGTTCTCTTCTGGGTGAGAATCTAGCAAATAAAGTTGGATCCTCCAGTTTTCAGCCTGCAGCATCTTTCTTGTGTGTTAAACCACCCAGGGAGGGAGCGTGGGGCAGCACAGGCTGCACGGAGGGCATGTTTTTGGCTGGCTTCCTGCAGCTCCCAAACGGCTTCGTGCCAGAGGAGTGAAAAGCTACAGAAGGGGACAAGCAAGGGAGTGCAAAACTACTCCTCAGAAGAGCTAGATTTAAGGCTATCCCCATTGGAAGAGGAGATGGAGAAGGGTGGTGATCCAGCAGTTACAGGAGGCTCATCTGGGGCATGCTCAGACAGAACTGGAGGTTTTCCTAGTGCAGCTTCTCTTGCAGCAGGCAAGGAGAATGTGGCTGAGCTCAGCACAGCCAGGCAAGCAGGCAGTCAGGAGCAACCATTCGGGATCTGTTCTTTGCTGCAAAGATGCTGCGGATGGGGACCACCTCCCTCCTTGTGTCACTGGTGCTGGCTGGGAGCATCCTGCATCACATCCTGCTGCAGGTCTCCTGTCACCTGGGATTTCCCCCATTAACGTGACTCCATTGCCAGAGCAGCCAGCATCTGCTGGAGCCAAAACAGAGTCAAAGGCACGGCTTAGCTTCAAAGCACTTGCAATATGTTCCTAGATTAGGAGCGGTGAAAAGCCCTTCATGCAGAGAGGGTCAGGGGTACAAAATGTCCTTTTGCATTAATATCCGTCTGTCCGTGCTGCGTTATCCATAAGCCAGAGGCTGACCAGTTGTCACCGGGAGCCCTTGCAAAGTTTGATCTGCTGCTGCTTGGGTTATTGCTTTTATTTATTCTTGCTATTCGGTCCCTAGGAGTTAAACCCAGCGAGCGCCGCTGCCCCGGCAAATGCAGGACACTGCCGGGGGATTCAAAGGAATTCGCAGATTTTTGCGTCACAGGGTCGAGTGGACATGCAGAGGGAGAAAGTTTAAATATAGGCTGAATAAAATAGAACAGAGAAAGATGTGTCTCCAAAGGGCCGTAGAAAGACTGGCAGCCTCTCAGACCTGCAAGATGAGGCTTCTCAGCAGGCAGCGTCCAGCGCTGCTGTTGCTGTGTTGAAGGATTTTATCTGCCCTTCTGGGGGTTGCTTCTTCCCAGCAATCGTTCTGTGCATGTCCAGAGACTTCATCTCCAAACTTGAGGGCACTCTTCTGTGCCTTATGCTTTATCTGGCCGAGAAATTGCCTTTTCCATCACCTTCCAACCCTTCTGCAAATGTGGGGTGGCCCCACAGATGTGCAGCCTTACAGATGTGCAGCCCTGGTCTGCATCACCCGCTTTCAGTTGCAAACGTGCAAATGCTTTCATCCATCTAGAAATTAAAGAGTAAAGCATCACAGGGACTAAACTGTCAGGGAGGTGTTCGCAGACCCACATTGTTGAGGATATTCAAACTGATATAGCAAGCTGAGTCTCACTTCCAGCCAACCACCAGGGCGATATATCTACCTTGTATGGCCTTTCCTCGTGGTCTTGATGAGTCTTGAAGGTGGAGGGGATGTTTCAAAGGATAGCTCCTCCTCTGGAAATATAGTACACACCCAGACTTGGCTTGGCCTGTATCAGAACCCAGGTTCAATCCTGCTGTTTTGACTTGGGCAAGATTCCCACAAAAGCATCACTGGTGCCGTGGAAGAGCAAAGCGACACAAACAACGTGATTAATAGACAGAAGACCAGGGTTTCCAGCAGAGACCATTTGCAGTTGCTTTCCACAGCAGGACACTGGTCACATCATGTGTAGCCACGAGCAGTGGTGGTTATCCTGGCATGCCCTGATTGCAGGCTGGCTCAAGCTGCAAGGTGGGAAACACCAGGAGCTGTGTTGCTGCTTGATTTCTTTGAATTTTAGATGTTTTATCTTCTTTGAGAGGGAGAGAGGGGAAAAAGTAACATGCAGCCCTCTTGGAAGATGCATTAATCCAGGTGGGCACGAAAGAAAAAGAGACAAGACAAGGGCAGAAATTACTGCAAAACTCGAAGAGAAGAAAAAAGAAGTGCATATTTTTGCAATCCAGACATTTAATGTAAAACAGAGCTCTGATGTAATCAAATACAGAAAGAACTTGTAGTTCTTGCTAAAAATACCTATGTAGAATATAAATATACATTAGCATGTAGCTGCAAGGCTTATGAAGATATCTGCCACAGTCTCATATTTACAGATAGGGATTTAAATGTTTAATACTTTCAGAAGTCACTTCATCTGAAGTAGGTATTAATTATAGAATGCGCTTGGTAGGACTGAAGTGCAGCAGGAGTGATATCATTTTCAATATCACTCCCAAATTATTTCTCATCTGAAACCTATCATGTGCACTTTTTTTTTCTTCTTAAAATAGATTTATTTTACCATATTAGGCCGCGGATGACTTGGAACAGCTGCCTCTGACACGCCGGCACATCCTCTCTCGGATATCTTCATTGTTCTCCTGCACAACTCTCACATCCTTAATTCCAGAGGAACACAGATCCGAAGCCTCTTTATTCAATACGGCCTCCGGTCGGAGAACAAGACAAATCTCCTAAAAATGAAGTGAAACTTTAGGGTTTCTCAAGCAGATATGTCAAGCAGGCAGGGAGGCAAGCACAGTGTCATGGTTGGTATCTCAATTTAGCAAAGCCATTTAGGGTCACATGAACTCAAGAGGGTTGCCCAGGATATTGTAAAGGGATAGGGCAGATGGCCTGTGTGTGCTTTAACCACCTTCCCAACATGTCTTCATCCCCATTCCATGGTGCATCAATCTACAGTCTGCCACGAGGCTTTAAAAAACACAAGGTGTGTCAATTAATCTTCCTGTGCCCTATCTGAGGCTGGTCTGGATCCTGATCCCATTCCCCAGTCAGTCCCTATTACGCAGACAGGAATTGTCACGTAGCTCCAGGCATGGTCCTGCAGCACATCTTTAGTACCAACTGAGCTTTAAGTTTCTGAATACACCTAATAAATGTGGTTAAGGACATTGTGTCTTGGGGTGAATTGGTTTTGCACTAGTCCCTCGTGAGCATATTGTTGAAATCCAAGCCATAGCACATGAAATCTATGGATCG